TATATATATTTTTTTCTAGTTTTGTTCTGTCCGCGGTCTCTCCAGCCGTTGTGGTGCCCAACATGATACGCCTGGAAGTGGCCGGTTGGGGCGTGAACCACGGTATTCCCACACTCATAATGGCCGCCTCCAGCATGGACGATGTGGTGGCCATTACGGGCTTCGGAGTGGCCCTGTCAATTGCGTTCTCGAAGGGCAGTTTAGCTAAGGCCCTGTACATGGGTCCCCTGGAGGTCGCTGCGGGTGCTGCCATTGGTCTCTGCATGGGTATCCTTTTCTGGTTCCTCCCACCTCCTGGCATGGTAAGTCCCCCAGTGTTAAAGTCCACTTCATCTCTATCATTTATTGTTCGTTCATTTTCGGCCTTCAGCAAGCTGGCTTTGTGATTAGACTGCTTCGATTCTGCTACAGCTCATGTTGCTCTGACGAAGAATCCGCGACGGATTTCGAAATGTCAACGTGATTAAAAGTGTTGTCTTAGCGATCGAGTCGTCTTCTTCTTCTTCTCCTCAGTTAGAGAGCTGTAAGTGTTCTGTGTGTTATTTTCGAAACTAGCCAAGGGTCCAACATGGAAGCTGGGGCTGTCTCCTTCAGGTGACTTTCCCGGATTTCACGCAATTTGCATCTTTAATTGGTGCCTTGAAGAAATATCCTATTGGAAAACAAAAAAATGCTTGAACCGCTGAAACGTCCCAACGCCCGAGAAGGGAGCTTGATAACTCAATTTTAATCATCTGAAAACATCAGTTTTCTGAACTGAAGATCCTGACAATCAGGCGTATTAAGACGCGCAAAAACTGCGTTGCGTATATGCAAGAGAAGCCTGGTATTGGAATTCAAGGACTAGACAGTATTGCGGAATGATGTTTGGCTGTATTTACTTCCAAACTTGCCTATCTTGCTGATGTATCCTCCTGGTTTATCCTGCAATACGCTGAAATGCATTCAGTTGTGACCCACATGTGAAATATTCACGGACTCAGTGGGATCCGAAACCACACAGCAGGGAAGGCACTTGTACCGTCAAAGCTCTACCAATTGAGCGACGAAGGCACGCCGAAGGTTTGAATTTAATCACGCTTGGGTCGATTTACCCACCCAGCCTACTGCGCGTATGGACTTAACTATTATTGATATATCAATCTGCCTGCCCGTGCAGGATTTCCTAGCAATCATCTAGAATCTACGCGGACTGCCTCGCTCACTTGCGAAACAGTCCGTTTCTGCATCGCCGACTTTGCTAAAAAGTGCAAGACATAGAGTGTAGGCGCCCAAATATTTTTAGAACCTTGCAGTTTTTTTCCAGAGAACGGGGTTTATGTTAAGCTGAGGGTTAATGCTAGGCTTAAGGTTGTGATTAAAGTTCAGTAAGGGTTAGTGTTCGAGTTATTACCGATAAATATTTATCCTTCCTATAATTTTACGCAAGACTGTCTGTATTATTGGGTAGGGGGGAGGTTGGAAAAGATAAGGCGTATTACCCCACCAAGACAGCTGTGGTTAACTACAACCCAAAAAATTACCACGTTTCTAATGAATAATCCTAACTTCCAACGCATAATAATTTAAGGAAAACTCAAACCTAACCCTAATCAAGGCCATAAAAATGTAACCCCGTAGCATAAACCCAAAACCCCAACTCGAACCATAACCCAAGCCTGACAATCCTAGCTCTAAGACCAAGCCACTTCCGAGGACTGAACCTGATACTGACGACTTTGCTGCCAATTACGCAAGTGAAGGCCAAAATGCATGTGTTGTATAACCCCTTCCTGTACATATTACCGTACAAACTACTTTTGTCGGCGCAAAGACAAAGGAGACCGGAATGGCCATTTCTGGCTTATAAG